AAATCCAGTCTTTGAGTTATGTAACCTTATAATAAGGTACAACTAATATATAGTTATTGATTCTATTCTATTTTATTTACTGAATATCACTTGTCCTAGTTGTAAATTCTATCCAAGTGGGCATACTTCGTCTGGGAGACATCTTTTGGACGTCTTACAGACGTCTGGACGTCCGTGAAACGTCTGACGGACGTCCCCCGGACGACGCATGTCCACTGAGATTTAGCTCTATAAAAGTGAGTTTGATTTAACCTGTTCCTCTTTTACTGCTGGGGATAGAAATGTATACATAATCAATTACAACCATTTCTTCCACTTAGTTATTTGATTTTACACAAGACACCTATCTAACTATTTCGGTAATTACTCAATTAACTCTTACTCTAATATGACTTTTTTTTTTTTGTTTCCCTTAGGCTTTTAAGGTTATATGTGCAAAATTTAACGGTACGATCTGATAGGTGATGAGTGATCTGAAAATGCAGAAAAAATTGTTGCAAAATAAAAGTAGTTCACATGTTTAGACAATCTAATAAATAATTGCCCAGATTTATGTAGATGACCAATTAGCTTTGAAACTTCAATATAACTTCAATTTCAAATTCAATTCAACTTCAATTGAAACTTTAATATAAAAATTGTAAAACATTGAACAGCAAAACATTTCAATATCAGTTTAGACAAAATTTAAAAAAAAAAATTATTAATTATAAGCATATAATAAATTAAAAATTTGTATGATTTTAAATATTATTAATATTAATTCTAAATAAATTATTCTTTAAACAGTTATATTATTGAATTCAGAATAAATAAAAATTTTATTTGTTAAAAATGGTTTCTAAAAACGGGTGCCAAGAGCGGCCCTGAATTTAATACTTATCAAGTACACGTAATATGTACATATTTGGCTTTCCTGGGTTGACTTCACTTTTCGAAATAAATTAAGTTTATAAATGTAAATCACTGCTAAAAATTCAAAGCTGACTGCTTTGAATTTTTTAATTGCCAAATAATAATAAATCATGAAAAAATAATTGAAATACTCTAAAATACAATGGCTATTGGACTTTGAAATAACAATACAATATACCACAATAGTTATTGAAATTATTTTCATCAAAACATGAAATAGTTATTGTAATTATTTTTCATCCTAGCAATACAATACAAAAGTTGTTGAAATTGTTTTAGATCACAATACAATACAATAGTTTTAGGATTTCGATGTATTGTTAGAACTAAAACAATACAATATTTATTGCAACTGTTTTTCATCACAGCAATACAATAACATTAAATAATATTTTATTTTTATCTCTGGTATAACAATACAATATTATTCTATTGTAATGTGTTATTGTATTTAATTTTTACAGTCACAATTACCATCGTCCGAACCCTAAATTTATTTAATTTTTCATTGAAAAAAAATATGTCATTTTGCCCTATTTTACATTACACGCACACACACACACACACACACACACACACACACACATACACATATATATATATACATATATATGTATGTATATATATATATATATATATATATATATATATATATATATATATATATATATATTTATGTATGTATGTATTATATATATATATATATATATATATATATACATATATATATATATATATATATATATATATATATATATATATATATATATATATATATATATATATATATATATATATATATATATATATATATGTATATAAATATATATATATATATATATATATATATATATATATATATATACATACATAAATATATATATATATATACATATATATGTACATATATATGTATATATATATATATATATATATATATATATATATATATATATATATATATATATATATATATATATACATATATATATATATATATATATATATATATATATATATATATATATATATATATATATATATATATATATATATATATATATATATATATATATATATATATATATTAAATATTTAAATGAAAAAAATACGACTTTTTTATGGGACTTTAAGTTCCATGCCATTCGGCAATCATTCAGCCATATATTTCTAGAAATATATGGCTGAATGATTGCCAAATGGCATGGAACTTGAAGTCCCATAAAAAAGTCGTATTTTTTTCATTTAAATATTTAATATATTTTGATCTATTTTATAAATATCGATCACTCTTAAACCGACAAAGAGCTGTATTAAATCCAACAGAATACAACACAACTCAATAATAATAATAATATATATATACATATATATATATATATATATATATATATATATATATATATATATATATATATATATATATATATATATATATATATATATATATATATATATATATATATATATATATATATATATATATATATACAGTCGCGGTCATATTAGGTAATGTTGTTGATAAAATTGAAATTAGAACAATAAAAACAAAATTATTTACATCAGGATCTATTTAACTGCAATTATTTATAACTATTTTTAACTCATTGCAAAAGTAACTCTAGGAAAAAAAATTGGCTACCTTACAAATTTTCTTTCCAAAATAAATATGACAAAATAAGAAACATCAAAATTTTTATTATGAAGTATAATGTTTTGCCAATAACTTTTATTACAAATGCAAGAATATCATGTCTGATTTTCATTTTAGTACTTTGTTGCACCACCTTTTGCTTTTACGACTGCTTCTAAACGTCTTTGCATGCTTTTTACATGCTTTAACGTGACGTAAGCACAAATTTAAATTTTAAGTTTCACTTAGAACCTCATAAAATTCTTTTTTGTTTGCTTAACTTGAATTATGTCTTTTGTACAGTTAACTGGAAACATTTAATTTAAGATTTTTAACAACCAGTCTTATCTGAAGTTATTGTAGAATTTTTCTTTGCTATTTGTAAAATTAGCATATCAGTTCTTGTTAAAGTTTATCTTGAATTTTAAGATTGGTAATTTCATTTAATAGAGTTAGTTTCGCAACGAGTTGAAAGATTTATAAATATATATTTTTTTTCCTTGGAATCAAATTAAAAAAAAAATTATTCGAGATATTATTCTAAAAAAATAAATATATAAAATAAAATTATTCCAGTTTTATATTAATTATTTATTGATAATTTTTTTTATTTTTAATTAGATATTAATTAAATTATTCCAGTTTTATTAAATTTTTCCACAAAAAAAAAAAAAAAAAAAAATCATTCCAGTTGATATTATTAATAAAATTATTCCAATTATTCTTGACGTAAATAATTTCATTTTTATTGTTCGAGTTTTGATTTTATCAACAATGTTGCCTAATATATATATATATATATATATATATATATATATATATATATATATATATATATATATATATATATATATATATATATATATATATATATATATATATATATATATATGCATTAAGTTTGCATTAAAACTTATTAGTAAAGTCTGGTGTTTCGAAATGGAAATGAGTTGGCATGAACAAATGTTAGAGGGCTAAGGAAATACTAATAATATAATGTATGCAAATCGTTCATATGCGCCGAATTTCACAATTTCTTAAAATTGTAACAGTAAGTTATAAATCATAACTGCTCAACCAACAAATACCGTTTTTGTAACGTTACGCATTCGTCGCGCTCGTTAACATTACTAACGTTTTAAAAACATTTTTAAACGTTAGGTTACATGAAATTAGATGAGAAAAACGCTTTTAAAAGTAGAAAATACAAACAATATATAACCGTGGCTGCCAAAAGTTCCATAATATATTTACAAATAACCTAATGCTCATTAAATTATACGAGTTATTTGCGCATGAATTATTTAACTGAGTGACAAAGAGCAAAAGTTGTAGAAATATTGTAAACATGTATTTTTAACATTAAATCTTTAACAAATAATACAAAAAAAATATATATTTGACAGATGTAGTCTTGTTGACGCTCTCAAAGCGGAATCTGTTTTGCTTTAATCGGTTTCCTGTTTACAAGTTATTGATTTTTTATCAAAATTTAATACATCTGTTTCTTTTTCTTATATATGTTAGTTTCTAAGACAACAAAAATCAACACTAGGTGAGGAGATTCGGTTGCGTTAACGCAGCTGATCTTTCAATTACATTATCGCTGATGTCGTTTCACAATATATAAATTATATATTAAAATAATTATATACATTATACATTATGAAAAAGTTATGTATTATATAAATATTACAAAAAAACTATGAAAATATGAAGAAAATCCCGCAAACCTTAGTTATGCATTTACAGTCATCGTGTGAAATGCAGCATATTGCGTTTTGTGGAAATTTACAATAAACTCTTCAATTTTTAAAACATTTTTACTATTCAGAAGAAAGAAAAAAACACCTGTTCTTTATTACAGCAGGAACCAACATATCTTTGGTTATCTGAATAGCGGAAGTTTTTGCGTCTACAGTTGACTAATTTTGTATTCCAAACGTCATTATAAAAAAATTTAGATTTTAAACTTATATTTTAAATTGTCATCTGGTTTAAATACATGTTGTAATTTAGTTTGTATTTATTTTATGCATAACATGTAATATCTAAATTAAATTTGAGTGGATATAAGTAAATTTTTTTATACCCACCCAATCTGCAGTATATTGGTAGAGTATTGTTTTTATATTTCTAGTAAATTCAAGTTAATTTTGTTGTTTTTAAATATTTTTCTTATTTCTTTTGTTTTATTATTATAATATATATATATATATATATATAATATATATATATATATATATATATATATATATATATGATATTTGTTTGTAGCTATAAATAAAATAAATTAAAAATTTTAATCTTAGTTTATGGTGCTTAGAAGTAGCAGACTTGGGTAACTGACGGCATGTCACCCCAATTTACTCATCCTCATTTTTAAAGTCTTTAAAAGTATACAAAAATGTAATATTTGTATATAGCTTTATATTACGTTTTTTTTTTAGCTTCTTCAAAGGTTATTAAAAAAACTTTTATTAAAAAAATGGAGTTTAAAAAGAGTTTAATTGTGGCAATTTTATCTTCCTATTTCATCGTTTTGTCATTTGCTGGAAGAATAGTAAACTTATCCTTTTTATACTTGTTTCCTCTTGTTTACATAAAAATGTTAATAAAAACTGCATTCAAACATTCAAACGTACTTGTGTTTTTATATATTTTATTTTTAGACATATGATAAATGTTTATCTCACAATGACTGTCCAAAAGGATTTTGTTGTGCTTACACTCATCGTATTTCACAAACAAATGGGTTTTGTTTAAAAAATAAAGAAATTGGAGAGACTTGTTCCATTAGTTTTTTGGTAATTTTTATGTATTATTTGTATAGCTTTTGTTTTTATTTGTTAAAAAACCTTTATCGATGTAAAGTATTATAATGATAAAGATTTATAGCAATATTTATATATAGGTAACTTATTCAAAATAAATCTAGTTTGTTTTAGTTTATTAAAATTCTATAATTTATATTCAGTATTCCTATTCAGAATTTGGGTTTTACTATTTATGTTTATAGTTCTATATTTAAATAACTTACGCCAGTTATTATATTTCATGTATTCAATTCATCTAATACCTATTATTTTTAATTGGATTTTAATCAGCTTCATCGATTTATCAGTTTCTTCATTTTTAATAATATTTATTTGAGTTTAGCATAAAATTTTAAAACTTTAAATATAAAACAATATAAAATAAAGATTGTTATTATTTAAAAAAAAAATCGGATGGGTAAAATAAATAAAAAATCAGTATAAAAAAAGTATACTTAAATTTCATTTGACTAAGTTGAAAATCAAAAAAGCCAGATGTAAAGCAAAGCCGATTAAAAGCTACAAACTATTAAAACAAAAGTTGAATTAACCAGAGACAATGTTTTTGTTGACAACTTTATATGTCGTTAATAAGTATCTTTTTGCTCGCCCGTGCTAAGTAAAAATAATAAAAAAATATTTTGCACCATCTCGTACCATTTTGTGTACAAAAATTAATATTATAATCAATAATACAATATAAGACTATTAGCATGAACAAACATTAGTTAGTTTATAGTGTGCTTGTTTTGGGCGATCAAAGGACTATCAGATTGCATAAATGAATTCTTTGTCCCAATAAAGCTTTATTTTGATGTCTCATGATTATAGATGCATAAATTTTAGTCAGAGTGAATAAATCCAGTCGGTCAGAGTGGGTCAACAAACAGTCTGAAAGTACACATTTTTTACTAAACAAATGTAAACTTTTTTCTTAAAATAAATTTTCTGAACCAGAATATATTTTTATAAATCCAGTAATGAGTTTCTGGAACTAAATAATACATTTTTGATATTAATCTCTAAATAAGCACCCAACATTTTTTGCGCTATTTTAAGTTCACTTTTGCTTCCTGCGTAATGGTAAAAATAAGAAATAAAAATATATTACTTATTGTTATATTAGGAAGGTAGGTTGAAGAAGTTTAGCATGTTACTTTAAACCTTTTAACCAAAAAAGAATGTTCGTATCTAAAGAAACAAGTTTATAAGATAATCTCTATTTATCAATTATTTATTATACTATAAATTTTTAAATAGTAGTTTGTAAAATTCCAACTTAAAAATCCGCATCATAAAATCAGTTAAATAATTTGTATGTCACTTTTATCAATATTAGGAAACTTAACGCTTTTAAGTTTTTCTAAATATTTAAATTATTTCGTTAAAAAAGTTTTTTTTTTTTTTTTTTTTTACAAGCATTACAAAAACAAAGCTACAGCTGTCGTGTTTTTAAGTTTAAAGTTTAAGCAAGTATTTTTTTTTATTATTTATTTGAATCTATGCTATGCTATATTTTGCTATAAAACGCTCCTATATCCAAAGATATTTTTGGCTCAGCATAGGAAGAGCCACAAATAGTCATAAAGACTAATCCAAAGTATCAGCATCCGTTATTGACTAACATTTTTGCGTACCAAAATACTACTCAAGCGCTGAGGTAGTGGTAACTAGTTCTACACAACAACCCTAGTTTTACACACAACCCCTGAGTTAGTGGTAACTCGTTTTACACAACAACCCGGTTTTAACAATTCATTTAACGCTCGAACCAACTGAGCTTTCTAGCCGCTTTAATTGCTAATTTGTTTTGAATTTTCTGTTTATAAATCTAATTTACATTTTTCAAAAGTTCGTTTTACTGGTCAACTTTTCAATTGATTTTTTAAGTGAATTTTCTGTTTAGGAAGACGAAGTTTTTACATGCGGCTGTGATTACGGACTTACTTGTACTATCCCTTCACCGGATTTCAAAACAAAAAGAAATAAGAGTTCACTTGCAGAACCAAAGAAATATAGATGTATGCGAATTCCTGAGGAAACTAAAGAAGAAATTGAAACAAATAGAAATGTTTGAAAATTTTCTCAGGCACAAGTTGATCGGAATTTCATGCAATTAATAGAAACTTTTTGTTTAGAAAAGACATTTTTATTATTGTTTGTAATATTATATATTCTGAACTGTTATTTATTATAAAAAATACACAAAATATCCTTTTATTTATGTCTTCAAGTTCTTTTTGTTTATATATTTGAGTGACTTTAGAGCTACTTAAATACGACAATATGGTTTTATTGTCAATAAACTTTTTTTCTTCATCCGAGTTTATTATTTATTTTGGCAAACAGTTTATAGCAAAACATTGTTATAGATTATTATTAAAAAATAAATTTTCCATTTTTAGAATTAATTATCTATAGTTTTACTGTAATAAAACTTAAAACACAACTACCTGTCACATTTTTTCGTTTTTTTTTTCGTTTTGCTTAACTTAAACTACTCATTAGTCAACTTTTTAGCAATTGTTTTTGTAAAAAGAACATTTTTGAATTTTTTTTTTATGAAAGTTTTGAACTTTTTTAAAAAGAACTAATTTATGATGCAAGATTTTAAAAAGTTTTGCTAAAAAATATCTGTTTACAAATGGCTAACCAATTGCCAACTAAGTCATAAGTTTAACATTTGTACGATTAAGCGTTCCCAGGAAAAAAAGTTCTATAGAATTTCTACAAACTTTTGAAACATATGGCCTATAGAAATTCTATAAAATTCTATAGAATTTTTATAGAATTTCTGTTAATTTCTATAGAAATTCCTGTAGAACTTTTTTTCTACTTTTTTTTTTCTATAGAAAAAAAATGTTTTATAGCAATTTCTATAGAAATTAAGAGACATTCTATAGGAATTCTATAGAATTCTATAGAATTTCTAAAGGCCATATTTTTCAAAAGTTTATAAAAATTCTATAGAACATTTTTTCCTGGGTTGCCAAAATAAATATACCTGGCAAAAAAATCTAGAGTTTTTTTTATTTCTAAAGTTTTTAAAAGGACTCTCAATACATGTAATAATAATATTATGTTGTAATATAAATGTTTAAAAAAAAAACTTTTCAGCTAAAATATTTTTATTAAAACTAAATAAATGCATACCGAAAAAAACTAACCTTGCTGCTTTAGTAAATTCTGTCAATTCCCATTTTAGTCTCATCTTCAAGTCTTTATAATACTCACCCTTTTACAGTTGCAATCTATAGAATTGCTTATTCTATTTGAGCGCATTTAATACTAGGAGTTTTATTATTTAACATCACTTTAGACTTGATGAAATGATTAATTTTTAGTTGTTGTTTTTTTTCTAAAATTTTTAAACAATCATTAGTAGTATATGCAGCTGTCAATGAATTCAAGAAATAAAAGATCATTAAAGTTAAAAAAACAAAAAAATAAGCAAAGAATTCTTAAAAGTTTGAAAAAGTTGCAGATAATAACGATAAAGTTGTAGATAATAACGATAAAGTTGCTGAATTATTTAATAATCTAGAAACGGATGTTAAAGCAAAAAATATGAAAAGATTGAAATCAAAAAAAAAGAAGATACCGGGTCCAAAGTTAGTTAAATTAAATCAACAAGGAACCCTGTTTAGCATCAAGTAAAAAAGTTATAACTTTTTGTCTCAGCTATATGATTTTGTTTTCCTGATCATAATGGAGTTTGCACAAGTTTTAATGACCACAAAAAATAAATAACTTTTAGAAATTTGTGTATTTCACTTTACTGGAGCAGAGAGAATGCTAGATACTATTTTGCTATAAAAAGAAAAGGACTAAACTCTAAACTTACAGCAAATGCTAAATTTTATTATTGCATGCGTTGACAAAACATTTTTTAATTTAAAAAACTACAATTCGATTAAACAAACACATTACGTGTTTACATATGATCACATTATATAACCACATTACGTGTTTACATATGACCTCATTATATATTATGTGTTTACATATGAATGCAACGTAGTTAATAAAATAAATTGCTTTATTATTGGAATGAATCTAAAGGCGAGTTTCCACTCATCCGTTTTTCTACGGAAACGGGATAGGAAAGGAAAAAATAATTACGCGAGCATGCGTAATAAAAAATTTTCTTTGTTCGAAAGAAAACTGCGCATGCTCACGGGATAGGAAAGGAAAAAATAATTACGCGAGCATGCGTAATAAAAAATTTTCTTTGTTCGAAAGAAAACTGCGCATGCTCACGTCATTATTTTTCCGTTGATAAAGATAATGAATAGAATTCTCTGAATTCTATTCATTATCTTTATAAATCTCAAATCCGTCCTTGTATGGAATACTGTTACCATATCCGGGAGCAGATCTTCTAATGATGTCCTTTCTCTTTTAGACAAGGTGCTAAAACGAATTGTAAAAATAGCTGGATATATCTAGTTTTGTAGCCAACCTCTAACCATTATCACATCGTCGTAATTGTAATTCTCTTTCTTTTTTTCTATAAAGACTATAATGACTATGAAAGAGCTAATATATATATATAAATATATATATGTATATATATATATATATATATATATATATATATATATATATATATTTATATATATATATATATATATATATATATATATATAATTATATATATTAGCTCTTTGAAGCAGTATATATATATATATATATATATATATATATATATATATATATATATATATATATATATATATATATATATATATATGCTTTAAATAGCTAATATATCAACATATATATATATATGTATATATATATATATATATATATATATATATATATATATATATATATATATATATACTATAATGAGCACTGCTTTAAATAGCTAATATATCAATATATATATATATATATATATATATATATATATATATATATATATATATATATATATATATATATATATACTGCTATATATATATATACTGCTATATATATATATACTGCTATATATATATATATATATATATATATATATATATATATATATATATATATATATATATATATATATATATATATATATATATATATATATTAAATTTGTGAAATATGCCGACTGAAAACAATTTTTATACTTAGAAAAAAAAAATGATACCTTAAAATTAAAACAAACACACCAATATCTTAAACAAATTAAGGGGCAGCAAATTTTTCAGGGCAGCCATTTTTTGGAAAAATATTTGAGCGAACCTTGTTTATTTTTGGCAAAATCATTTAATTATTGAAATTCCTAAAACTCAAAATACTATTACAGATAACAGAAAACAAATAACAGAAAATCCTTCAAAAAACGAAATTTTTAATGACTTTAATTGCTATACCTAATATAGGTGAACAAAAAAAAGTTGAGTAATTTGATGTTTGTTAGAAATTACTTTAAAAGTTTTCAAGTAGAACTGGCCTTGGCCACAGTCAAATACCAGCCCCGGTCTTTTACTACTTGGGTAATATTCACACAAAATATAGCAGGCTTTTCAGTAATTTTAATTTCGTCCTCAAACAGTGATTTTGGTATTTTATCACGAAAAATTTTCAACAACCTTTTTTTTACATGCAAGGTTTCTTTTTTAACGATTAACATAAGATGGGGAATCTCGTGGAACTAAATTAGAAATTCTTTTGTTACTATCATAACCCAAGTTAAGTGGAGGATAGTCAAAGCAACTCCTGACAAAATGATTTAACATACCCAGGTAAAACAGTTCTATAGAATTTTCTATAAACTTTTGAAACATATGGCCTGTAAAAGCTCTATAGAATTTCTATAGAATTTCTATTAATTTCTATAGAAATTGCTATAAAACTTTTTTTTCAATAAAAAAAAAGTAGAAAAAAAAACTTCAATAAAAATTTTTATAGAAAGTCTATAGTAATTCTATATAATTCTATAGCAATACGGGTCTTGATTTTAAATTCTAGGGTCTTGATTTTAAATTCTAAGGTCTTGATTTTGAACCTGGACTCTAGAGCTTTTTATTTTTCTCTCTATTTATAAGAAGCAATTTTTTCTTTTTTCAGGATTTTACTTTTTTCCTGGAAAAGGCAAAAGACTGAAAAAAAAAATTATTATTCATTATAAAAGCACGTATTAGTTGTTCTAAGATAACAAACCATAATAAATACCTTTTATATTTAATGTTTAAATGTTTCGATAACAACGATAATAACTATAAATATTTTTTATATTTAATAATTAAATATTTTGTCGATTTTTTAAATTTATTTATTTTCTAAAAATAGCAAATTAAGTTATAGTCTATTAAGTTATTAGCACGCCATGTTTTAAATTTCAGTCATGTTTTAAATTTCAGTCTCGTATCTCAGTTTTTGTAATGAGCTGTTCTTTCCTGTATTTATTTAATTTATTTTATGGATCTATTTTTCTTTCTCTTGCAATGTTGAAAATTCCGATTTTTAAAAAATTCAATCTGAAACCTTCATTCTGGCTAAGTTTTCTTCCGAACAAACCATATAAGAAATCAGGATTTCAATGTAAAATCAAAGATTTCAATGTAAAATCACTTTAAAAATTTCATTCTTCTGATACAAATTTCAAACGTGTCAAGAACCTTTAATACATACTTTTAATTGAATTGTTAAAACTAGAATATTTTTCCTATAACTTTTGAATGCCTGGTCCATAGCAACAGGTAATTCATCGGTTCACAAATCAGTGAAAAATAGTTGTTAATGTAGTACTAACTATGTCAGTTACTAACTGACATAATTGGTAACTGACATTACCAACTACTTTTTAAGTTGCTGTAATGTCAGCTTTGCAAGTTTGAAAGATATAAAAAAGGTTACTTGACTTACCGCCATCACTCGAGTTGTCGAATTGTATTTTAAAAAGAATCTCGAATTGTATTTTAAAAAGAATGAATCAGTGTAAAGTTACAATTTTTTATTGTCCTAGAAAACAAAGAGTCGTCCAAGGTAAGTAAATATTTAGTCGAAGTTGGTCAAAAACGTTTGCGAACAAATATTGATCAAAGTTTTGGTTTCGGATATTTTGAGCCATTTAATGCATACTTTTAATGAATGTTGGTTACACATTTTCAATATTGATTAATACAAATCAATATCGTGAAAGCTTAATAAACGTATACATTAAAGGAATTGAGGCGTTTGTTTAAAATTTATTATTATACGTTTGTTAAGTGTCAGTTAAACGTTTAAAATATTGATTGATAATAGCCGATATTGTAAACCTTTAATCAACGTTTAATAAACGTTTACATTAAAAAGATTGAAATGTGCGTCATACT